TCTCGAACGACGAAAAATATTGCACAAGAGTACCGGGGCCGTGCCTCATTAACTACACACGTTTTAACCGAGATCGCACATGATACAGAGCAACAAAGACAAAGTGGTTTGTGCACTGCGCTACGAAACCTGAATTCAATTCCCACTGACAGCTCACATCAGTGGTAAGTGATTATGAACAGGTTCTGGGCCTCCCTCGATTCGACGGGAGTTTTAAATGTGTAGCTGGTGTGCTGCATAAACATCAGCACCAGGAGAGCGAGACACGGTGGAAAGGCGTGGTTGCTGATCGTGCCTCGCCCTCCTGCTCCCGATTGACCTTACTAGGTGCTCACTAACAACACTTGCCCCCAAACAGTCTATTGTTTTTTTATGTTCCGTAATAGTATTTGTGTGCTAGAGTGCTGCAATGGCGTTATCAGCACGAGGGCTCTGTGACTGCAGACCCTGTCAAGTTGTTATTATTGCTGCGCCAGTCTTGTGCATGCCATGCGGGGCTGTGGAAAACCTGTGTCACATCCAAAAGCTTCCTACTACCACCACAATCTCCCCTGGCCCTTGGCTCCACGGGATGAGTGATGTTTCAATAGGGCCCACCCAATCACCCAGCCATCCCATCCATCAGGCACATTACGCACTTGATGTTTTCCTGCAACTTCCTGCAATTGCTTTCGCTTCCCTTTTAAATACCGTGCCATTAAGGATCCAGAATGTGTTCTACTGGAAAATATTTACTTTTGCACTGTACAGCGCGCTGCAATTCATAACATAGGTACATTACATAGCAACAGCATGTTACTGTACTTCATCCCGCCGGTACAGCTGTCCATCAACATCCAGTCTCCAACGGATTGCTCTTAGTCTCATCCTAACAACTATCTGGCCTTAGATATTTACACAGCCGATGTATCCTTTTAGGTCCTATTTCAGTGTCGCCATCCGCAGGCTTTGAGTCGTGTTCAACAATTGACGTGTCCCTTGTGAAAACAGCTGACAAAGTCCTTCAAGGGTGGATCTGTCTCATCATAATCATCACCACATCACCAGGCTTTTGGTCTTCCCCTTCTTGATCGTCAGCGACCTGCGGGTGTCCACTCCAATGCCCGTCTCGGTAACCTGCCCTCCCCCATCCTGCACATGCGTCTCGACCCATCGCAAACCTCCGCTTTCTGATCACATCTACAACTCTTCCCTGCCACAATTCTCTTCTGAACCTCCACGTTGCTTATCCTACCCTGCATTCATCTAACAGTGCATTGCCAAAGGCCTATAAATTATTATTAATAAAGAAAGCATACTTATTCACAAACGAATGGAATACACGATAGGCATTGCCAATTACCTAATCCATAAGTAATGTATTGTATACTATACGTGAATTAGCTCATGTGACAATAATACAGTCGTACAGTACTGAATAATGGCCTTTATTATTCAGGATAACCTCACTGAGTCTCAATACTATTTCAGGTGCTGCATTTGGCCAATTATAATTATTATTCGTGTGTTGTGATGAGCTGAACAAACACGAATCTGCGGGGCATCATCAACACCGACGGCTGCGGCCGCGGTTCATGGGCAAGGCAACGTCGACAGGTCACGGCGATGAGGGCCAACGGACGAGAGCCGAACGTTACGACCGGCGCTGCGTTGACCCGAGTGGCAGCTAAAAATCAAGAGCGAGAGAGGATTGAGCCTGGGAATGGGACCATCGCCGAGACGGAGAGAGGCGAGCTCAGCTCATGCGCGACGGGAAAGAGTACGACGAATTGTGGCATCACAGGACTCTCGAGGGACGGCGACGGTGTGGGGAGGCCTTCATCCAGCAGTGGATAGACCACGGCTCATGTTGATAATGATATACACAGGAGCAACTGTGTGGACTGTGTTTTATAAATGGGGAGGGGGGGGGACCACGGTAATTGAACAAGCAGGGCGGGTGTGGTGGGGTAAACTGTGGGTATACCCACCTCTTGCAAGACTTCTGGCCAGTGTGGAAGAGTAGTCCAAAAATACCCTCTAGACTCTAGAGCAGACATGGGCAAAGTACGGCCCGTTAGGCTTTTTAATCCGGCCCGCCGAACTTGTCCAAATATTATTAAATTAAATTTTACCTTTCTCCTGTAATGCCCCCATTTCCCCATTAGATGGCGCACTTTGACCGGGAGTGTGGTGTATAGGCCCTATGTTCGTGCAATGTGTTAAAATGCCTTGCAAATAAATACTTTGCTACCTGTTAAAGGCCAAATCCTTTCATGTAATGATTTTTACATGTCATTTATATTAGTTCACACAAACACTCCATCCATCTGTTCCTTGCCCGGCCCCTATGTCAAATTTTAGAACCCATTGTGGCCCACGAGTCAAATAATTTGACCACCACTGCTCTAGACTCTCGAGCAGTGGTCTTCACTGCAAGGCCCGCGGGCAACTGGCGGCCCCCCAACAATACACAAATGTGACGAAATCCCATCATTGTGTCAAACCCCAATGGCCCTCCTCTGAAAATTAGTGAACACTGCTCTAGATGTACTCTCTAGAGGTGCTCTAAAGAGCTCCCTCTAGTGGATGCTCTTCCACCAGCAGCGGCGTGAGCGAGATATAGCAGGGCTGCACCTTTATTACCTCGTCGCTATGTGCCCTCAGGGCAACTATGCACAAGAGCCAGATCTACATTACAAAAGATTTCCCATCTCCACGGGCTCTCAAACGGTTATAAAGTTCATACTCTGTAATGTTGTTGCTTCCCAGATCTCCTTTTACAAAATAAAACCGTCTCAAAGGGGCCCTCTCACCTGATTATAAACAAGGGCCTTGCATCAACTGCTTACCTCCCACAGATCTCCACTTGCAAATGAGACTTTCTGTCTCAATGCACAAAGCACGGCGCATTGTGTTTGTTCCACAAACTGAAACCCAAATGCCACGGTTCAACTGCAGATGTGTAGACATAGACACACACACAACACACACAACACGCACAAGAGCTCAAACTTATCCAATGACGTCAGCCCTGCATTGCCATGGCCAGCACATGTGACTGGTCATCATGAGCAGCAGCAGCAGAAACAAGCAAGCACAAGACTAGCAAGCGGTAGTGGAGTGGAGTGGCTCTCCTTTTACCATGCTGCCCCACGAATGCTGGAAGTGCCCCCGAAACAAGGTTACTTACACGGGTTCGGGCAAACGACATGTGTGCCTCTCCTCTTTCAATGACACGTCCCCGCCGGAGTTGGTGGGAACAGACCGAGTTTTCCAGATTAAATATTAACCGCAGACGAAATCCAATGGGGGTGAATGCTGTAGCGTGAATATGCATTGCTGTGTGCTTCGAATGTCAACCACTCTGTGCTGCATTGTTATGACGCTAATGCAAGCACAACGCTTCGGTTAAGCTGGATGTTAATTGTCATGGAACTAATGTACACAGTACATCACGTGGGGGAGGGCCTCATCCAGCAGTGGATTGACAAAGGACTCGACAGGATGGTCCAGATGTGTTGTGACCCCCCCCCCCACATTTAATTTTCTAAAACGTATTTTTTTAAATAAGGTTGATTTTATACCAAAGGAACAACAATGTTAGGGGTCAATTAATTGGGTGTCAGAGGACACCTCGACCACCGTGTACAATGGTGGTCTTATTCAGAACACGTGTACTTCGGACATATGTTAAAATGCAATTATTTAATATGTAATGAAGTCATAAAGTGCAGGAATACTGTACTGTAATACAATCACCACAAAGTAGTTATATATTTGGAAAAAGATCAAACTGCACCTCGGTATGTATTTGTAACGTCTGCAAAAATAAAATGACACAATGCTAATCTTTGACATGATGCAATATAAAACACAATATACACAATTACGATGTATATATCTCTAAATACTGTAATATATAGAATAAAATAAAATGTGTACATACGTAAGGAGCAATAATAGCAAAAAAAACAACACACAGTGATGTACTGTATTGTAAAACCGAACCCATGTGTAACAACTTGCCTGTATAATGTTTAAAGATTTAAAATTTTAATTAAGCTACTTATTACCATTCCGTTATAGTAAGTAATCTTACTTACCAAAATACAGTCATGTAATATACATATCATGAGCAAATTAGTTATAATTCTATTACAATTTAATACACTGTTACAATGTAAATACAGATGCAGTGTAGGATATAATTAAAACGTAGATGTTATTTAGAGTTAAGTGATTAACAATAATCACAGGATTATATTGTCAAAAGCGTTTGAAGATAGCAACCGATGAGCCACCGATAAAGAAACTTTTTTAAAAAAATTATAAATCTGAAAATAGCACAGCAACTATAAATAAACATTACACCACCTAAACGAATGATACATTTGTAACAATAATAAGACATTGGTAAAGAATACACACAAATTCACTGGTAATTAAAATGCATTGGTCAAACACACACCGTTACACATTTAAATCCTATACACACTGGAGCAACAGTGATTAAATACACACTACAATTGCAATATAAATACAATTGTAACCACGATATATACATTTCAAATATATTGCCATAAACGAGTAACAATAAACATTGTTACTATTTAGAAATCGCTACGCAATCATACAACACACAGGGTACAATTTTTATTTTTAATAAATGTATTAATTATATTACAACGCTATGCATTTTGCTTCGCATCTAAATACATTGCAAATTATATACCGCATGTAACATTGTACAAGTACTGGCTTTATATTGCATAACCTGCAACATAGCGAGTACTGTAATGAAAAACAAGTACCGTCATACATTGTGACATTCGAAGATGTAACAACGCATTGTAGCACCTATAACAACACGCCGTATAACACGGCGTAAAACACAAACCACGTTACTATACTATTAGTGCATCAAGACAATCGTATGTAAGATAAGAGATAAATCGAGATAGATGCAGTAGGAGTTGAGTTGATGGTTGGGGGCGGGGGGCTGTAGACTGGCACCTTACCCCGTGCAGAATGTGGAGCCGGTGGGAAGAAGAAGGAGATGATGATGATGGCTCCCATGATTTGAGACGAAGAAGAAGAGGAGGATGAGGAGGAGGAAGAATAAGAAGAGTTGAATGTCAGGAATGATTTCTCAGCGAGGAGCTGCGTGAGACACGCGGCCAGCCCCGGCATCTCCCCCGGCTTGACGAGCTGCGACTGAGCCCCGTGACGAGTGCGGTGGTGGTGGTGGTGGGGAGGGGGGTGGTGGCGTCTACACATCAGCACGTGTTTACCTCTATGTGTGTGTGTCACTGTGTATGACTAGCCCTATTGGTGTGTCACTGTGTATGACTAGCCCTATTGGTGTGTCACTGTGTATGACTAGCCCTATTGGTGTGTGTGTGTGTGTCACTGTGTATGACTAGCCCTATTGGTGTGTGTGTGTCACTGTGTATGACTAGCCCTATTGGTGTGTGTGTGTGTGTCACTGTGTATGACTAGCCCTGTTGGTGTGTCACTGTGTATGACTACTAGCCCTACTGGTGTGTGTGTCACTGTGTATGACTAGCCCTATTGGTGTGTGTGTCACTGTGTATGACTAGCCCTATTGGTGTGTCACTGTGTATGACTAGCCCTATTGGTGTGTGTGTGTCACTGTGTATGACTAGCCCTATTGGTGTGTCACTGTGTATGACTAGCCCTATTGGTGTGTGTGTGTCACTGTGTATGACTAGCCCTATTGGTGTGTCACTGTGTATGACTAGCCCTATTGGTGTGTGTGTGTGTCACTGTGTATGACTAGCCCTATTGGTGTGTCACTGTGTATGACTAGCCCTATTGGTGTGTCACTGTGTATGACTAGCCCTATTGGTGTGTGTGTGTCACTGTGTATGACTAGCCCTATTGGTGTGTGTGTGTCACTGTGTATGACTAGCCCTATTGGTGTGTCACTGTGTATGACTAGCCCTATTGGTGTGTCACTGTGTATGACTAGCCCTATTGGTGTGTCACTGTGTATGACTAGCCCTATTGGTGTGTCACTGTGTATGACTAGCCCTATTGGTGTGTCACTGTGTATGACTAGCCCTATTGGTGTGTGTGTGTCACTGTGTATGACTAGCCCTATTGGTGTGTCACTGTGTATGACTACTAGCCCTATTGGTGTGTCACTGTGTATGACTACTAGCCCTATTGGTGTGTGTCACTGTGTATGACTAGCCCTATTGGTGTGTCACTGTGTATGACTAGCCCTATTGGTGTGTCACTGTGTATGACTAGCCCTATTGGTGTGTGTGTGTCACTGTGTATGACTAGCCCTATTGGTGTGTCACTGTGTATGACTACTAGCCCTATTGGTGTGTCACTGTGTATGACTACTAGCCCTATTGGTGTGTGTCACTGTGTATGACTAGCCCTATTGGTGTGTGTGTCACTGTGTATGACTACTAGCCCTATTGGTGTGTCACTGTGTATGACTAGCCCTATTGGTGTGTCACTGTGTATGACTAGCCCTACTGGTGTGTCACTGTGTATGACTACTAGCCCTATTGGTGTGTGTGTCACTGTGTATGACTAGCCCTATTGGTGTGTCACTGTGTATGACAAGCCCTATTGGTGTGTCACTGTGTATGACTAGCCCTATTGGTGTGTCACTGTGTATGACTACTAGCCATATTGGTGTGTCACTGTGTATGACTAGCCCTATTGGTGTGTCACTGTGTATGACTACTAGCCGTATTAGTGTGTCACTGTGTATGACTAGCCCTATTGGTGTGTCACTGTGTATGACTAGCCCTATTGGTGTGTGTGTCACTGTGTATGACTAGCCCTATTGGTGTGTGTGTGTCACTGTGTATGACTACTAGCCCTATTGGTGTGTGTGTGTGTGTGTCACTGTGTATGACTACTAGCCCTATTGGTGTGTGTGTGTGTGTCACTGTGTATGACTAGCCCTACTGGTGTGTGTGTCACTGTGTATGACTAGCCCTATTGGTGTGTCACTGTGTATGACTAGTCCTACTGGTGTGTCACTGTGTATGACTAGCCCTATTGGTGTGTCACTGTGTATGACTAGCCCTATTGGTGTGTCACTGTGTATGACTACTAGCCCTATTGGTGTGTCACTGTGTATGACTAGCCCTATTGGTGTGTCACTGTGTATGACTACTAGCCCTATTAGTGTGTCACTGTGTATGACTAGCCCTATTGGTGTGTCACTGTGTATGACTAGCCCTATTGGTGTGTGTGTCACTGTGTATGACTAGCCCTATTGGTGTGTGTGTGTCACTGTATATGACTACTAGCCCTATTGGTGTGTGTGTGTGTGTCACTGTGTATGACTACTAGCCCTATTGGTGTGTGTGTGTGTGTCACTGTGTATGACTAGCCCTACTGGTGTGTGTGTCACTGTGTATGACTAGCCCTATTGGTGTGTCACTGTGTATGACTACTAGCCCTATTGGTGTGTGTGTGTGTCACTGTGTATGACTAGCCCTACTGGTGTGTGTGTCACTGTGTATGACTAGCCCTATTGGTGTGTCACTGTGTATGACTAGCCCTATTGGTGTGTCACTGTGTATGACTAGCCCTATTGGTGTGTGTGTGTGTGTCACTGTGTATGACTAGCCCTATTGGTGTGTGTGTCACTGTGTATGACTAGCCCTATTGGTGTGTGTGTGTCACTGTGTATGACTAGCCCTATTGGTGTGTGTGTGTGTGTCACTGTGTATGACTAGCCCTATTGGTGTGTGTGTCACTGTGTATGACTACTAGCCCTATTGGTGTGTGTGTGTCACTGCGTATGACTACTAGCCCTATTGGTGTGTGTGTGTGTGTGTCACTGTGTATGACTAGCCCTATTGGTGTGTGTGTGTGTGTCACTGTGTATGACTAGCCCTATTGGTGTGTGTGTCACTGTGTATGACTAGCCCTATTGGTGTGTGTGTGTCTATCACTATGTATGACTAGCCCTATTCTGTGTCTATCACTATATATGACTAGCCCTATTGGTGTGTGTGTGTGTGTCACTGTGTATGACTAGCCCTATTGGTGTGTCACTGTGTATAACTAGCCCTATTGGTGTGTCACTGTGTATGACTAGCCCTATTGGTGTGTCACTGTGTATGACTAGCCCTATTGGTGTGTGTGTCACTGTGTATGACTAGCCCTATTGGTGTGTGTGTGTCACTGTGTATGACTACTAGCCCTATTGGTGTGTGTGTGTGTGTCACTGTGTATGACTACTAGCCCTATTGGTGTGTGTGTGTGTCACTGTGTATGACTAGCCCTACTGGTGTGTGTGTCACTGTGTATGACTAGCCCTATTGGTGTGTCACTGTGTATGACTAGTCGTACTGGTGTGTCACTGTGTATGACTAGCCCTATTGGTGTGTCACTGTGTATGACTAGCCCTATTGGTGTGTCACTGTGTATGACTAGCCCTATTGGTGTGTGTGTGTCACTGTGTATGACTAGCCCTATTGGTGTGTGTGTCACTGTGTATGACTAGCCCTATTGGTGTGTGTGTGTCACTGTGTATGACTAGCCCTATTGGTGTGTGTGTGTGTGTCACTGTGTATGACTAGCCCTATTGGTGTGTGTGTCACTGTGTATGACTACTAGCCCTATTGGTGTGTGTGTGTGTGTCACTGTGTATGACTACTAGCCCTATTGGTGTGTGTGTGTGTGTCACTGTGTATGACTAGCCCTATTGGTGTGTGTGTGTCACTGTGTATGACTAGCCCTATTGGTGTGTGTGTCACTGTGTATGACTAGCCCTATTGGTGTGTGTGTGTCTATCACTATGTATGACTAGCCCTATTCTGTGTCTATCACTATATATGACTAGCCCTATTGGTGTGTGTGTGTGTCACTGTGTATGACTAGCCCTATTGGTGTGTCACTGTGTATAACTAGCCCTATTGGTGTGTCACTGTGTATGACTAGCCCTATTGGTGTGTCACTGTGTATGACTAGCCCTATTGGTGTGTCACTGTGTATGACTAGCCCTACTGGTGTGTCACTGTGTATGACTAGCCCTATTGGTGTGTGTGTGTGTCACTGTGTATGACTAGCCCTATTGGTGTGTGTGTCACTGTGTATGACTAGCCCTATTGGTGTGTGTCTATCACTATGTATGACTAGCCCTATTCTGTGTCTATCACTATATATGACTAGCCCTATTGGTGTGTGTGTGTCTATCACTGTGTATGACTAGCCCTATTGGTGTGTCTGTGTCTATCACTGTGTATGACTTGCCCTATTGGTGTGTGTGTCTATCACTGTGTATGACTAGCCCTATTGGTGTGTCACTGTGTATGACTAGCCCTATTGGTGTGTGTGTCACTGTGTATGACTAGCCCTATTGGTGTGTCTGTGTCTATCACTATATATGACTAGCCCTATTGGCGTGTCTGTGTCTATCACTATATATAACTAGTCCTATTGGTGTGTGTGTGTGTCTATACGTTAGCATGTGTTTACATCTGTGTATGCGTGCTCCCATACAATGCATGACGAGCTCTATTAGCGTGTCTATTATACGTTAGCATGCTTACATGTGTCTGTGCGTGTAAATGTTTACATGCAATCACTGTGTACCGTATACGTCTATACGTATGTCTATATATTAGCGTGCATGTCTACCTCTGCGTGCGAGTACATGCCGACACGCATCAATGTGTATGAGAATATACTATGAATGTAAATGTGTCTAAAATGTACATGTGCCTGCGTGTATGTCTAAAAATTGTCATGTGTGTGTCGTCGACGTGCACATGTGTGTCTATCACTACATGTATGTTGTGTCTATACAGCTGATATGTTTGCTGTGCATGCGTGTCAATACCGGTGCAGCTACACACGTATGTAGTGATACACGTGTGTGTGTGTCTCTATACGTGTGTGCCTATACGTGTGCGTGTGTCTATATACGTGGGTGTGTCTATACGTGGGTGTCTATACGTGTGCATGTGTCTATATACGTGTGTGTCTATACACGTGTGAATGTTTACACGTGTCTATACGTGTGTATATGTGTGTGTCTATACACGTGTGTGTGTCTATACACGTGTGTGTGTCTATACACGTGTGTGTGTCTATACACGTGTGTGTGTCTATACACGTGTGTGTGTCTATACACGTGTGTGTGTCTATACACGTGTGTGTGTCTATACACGTGTGTGTGTCTATACACGTGTGTGTGTCTATACGCGTGCGCGTGTCTATACGCGTGCCTACACGCGTGCGCGTGTCTACACACGTGCGATATGTTGACACGTGTCTATGTGCGTGCGTGCGTTGCCTCTCTCAGACAATTACCCCCACGGACGATGGACAACGTGGGCTCTGCTCGCACTTGCTGCTGCTGTGCCCTGTCCAGC